CAGCAACCGGCCGTCATTGCCAAGCCGCCACCTTTGCCGCCGCCATATTTTGCCGAGTGGCCGGCATCCGGCAAAGACTAATTTTTGCCGACGGCTAGAATTTGCCGAGTGCCGGCACCCGGCAAAGGCTGCTTTGCCGGAGGCCTTTATTTGCCGGGTGCCTCCAGGCCTAGCACTCGGCAAAGAATTCCTTTGCCGGGTGCCCGATAAAAAGCACCCGGCAAATTTTTTTGCTCCCGGCAAATCAGCCGTTTCCTGTTGTGAAAGTTTGGATTTTTTTTTCCTGCTTAAACAAGGTATGTGCACACATGTTTTCAACTTGCTTGCTAACAAGCAATTGCACTGCAGGGTTTACCTAAATTTTGAAATTTAATATGTTCCGCTATACAAAGTTTTCCTCGGTGTCATGAACTTCACTATCCTGCTTTGCTCTTTTGTTGTTGTTGTCCAATAGTTGAATATGTGTTTTCTTTTTTCCTATTTGAATGTTATATATGATCAGACAGCTCAACAGCTGGATGGGAGTAGGTTCTCTCGCTCAGCTGACAGAAGAGCGTGATGTATGAACTATAAGAATTGTGTACAATTGCATTGAATATACTGGTGGTATACATGAAAAAGAATCAACCGAGATAGTTTATCAACATAGAGATAGGGACCAAGCAAAGCCCTTTCTTCCTCAGCTCATTACTCTCATATAGCGCCTTCTCGTTGTTACTAAAACTATTGATGACTTGTTGATCCACGCCAGTCGCCTGCTGTTTTGAACCCATAGCTTCGAAGTATTTGGCCTGCAGTATTCCAAGAAAACACAGGTGTAAGTACAACTAGGGGCAAGTAATCACCATCTTGAAAAACTAGATGTCAAAGCTGTAGATGAGCAAGCGTACCATGAGCTGGGGCATGTTGAAATCTTTCGCATCCATGGTTGACATTTGCTTCAAATCGAAATGTTCCATGGTAGCTATCTGCACAGCAAGTCCACAATCACGTAACGTTAGAAGATAAGCTATGCGCTATGCTGTTAGAAAAGGCCTAACCAGGGAGTCTTTTGCTAACCTTTTGGCCAGCTGCAGAAGAACAGGCAGTGTCCTGTAGGGCCTCATCCTCCTCGTCGTCGTCGCACATGAGCTCAGACGTGACGAAGGAGGCGTCGTCGCCAAAGGAATGGAAGGAAGAAGAGAAGCCGGAGGAGAAGCTGCTGCCGCCAGAGACCGCTGCATGCTGATCGTCCATCTCTTGCGGCGTCGAGGCCAGGAAGTTTGCGATGTGCATGGCCCAGCTGCTCTCGCCGGCTGACATGGTAGATGTGGCCGCCGGGCTTACGCATGAGGAGGAGGGTGATTTGTTCTCCATTGTGACCAGTGCCCGTAAGTATGAAGCAGTAGGAGCTATCAGCAGCAGCAGCAGAAAGCAGAAGCTCTTGTTCTTTGATGCTATGCTTTGTTTGTTGTCTGGATGGGATGGGAGTGAAGAAAGCTCGCTAGAGTCCCTGGGTAATATATATACGAGTCCAGGGACGACTATCGACCAGTGGTAGCAGCAGTACATGCATATGAACTGTCTGCGTGTAGAATACAGTTGAGAAATCCCTCTCTAAGAATCTTCTCGTTAGTTGCGTATGTTAGTCGGTAATGATCACATGCTAATCGAGAGCTATATATATATCCTTATTGACCTAGTATATAGTAGAGCGCATATGTGTATATATCGTGGTACGGTGTACTATATAGTGTGGTTATTATGGTGACGACTGTATTTTTTAGTCCTTGAATGGAAACAAAAGAAAAGAAGTCTAGTTTTGTGGCGAATGAAGCGTGGCGGTTGGGATCTATATCAGCTCCGGCCAATGATACGCTGTGTGCATGCGGGCGCGTGAAACGGAGCAGGCTCGGGGTGGTTCCCGCACATGCGTGGGCCTGCACAGCTTCCAAAGCAGGGTGGGTGCGGGGTGAGGGTGCTTAGTGCGTTAGACGCAAGTGTGGGGGTACTGTCTGACGCTATGATCGGACGTCTGGACGCTAGCAAATACCTTAAAAAAAATGCATCGTATCAAGGTTTCGCTGAGGGGTGGCCATCTCCGTGGATTCAGCGAGGCCATGAGATCTCGCCATGTAGTCTTCTGTCCTATTCTGATCCTGGCTATTGCTGCCCTATAGTACTAACATTCAGCTCTATGGCGAACGTGTTTCAATAAGCGAGGCCGGCCGGCCAGGTTGCATTACTCATTAATCCGTGCTTTAGCACCATCAAAAACTTTGCGCCGTAAGTACTGATTTTTCATAGATACCTTTCAAATACGTACGTGTGGCTTGTGCTAATAATAAGCCACGATGGCTAAAAAAATTCATAAACAAATTTAGTACACATAGCTAATTAAAATTGATGATTTCTACTTTCATGCTAAGTCAAACAACGTTAAGTCTGACAAAATTCTTTAAAGAGCAGAACAACCGATGGTTATTAGCAGTGATAATGATTATAATCTACCAAATTAAAAGCTACTACACCCCGTCTATGAAAGAATATATTTATATATGCAAAAAAAATTGTCCTAGAATAAATAAACTTCTAGGCCCTTACCATCATTTCCTCAAAGTTTTCAGTAGTGAGCGTACCCATTTATTCCTTCTGAACATATGCTCTAGTGGTTTATTATGTAGTGGGTGCAACAACATTTCATATATTATTTGAAGAACCAAAACTCACTGCTCCAGCTTCTTGATAAGTGGATAGAAACGTCTTTTCTCTTGTTTGCTAATACTATGTCATAAAGTGGACACAGAGTATATATTTCTATTTTAGAAGATTTATTTGATTTATATTTTTCTTCAATTCCTCTCTTTTTGCAGTTTTGCTCAATCTCCTTCTCGGCCTTCGCTCTGTCCAATGGCGAATAGCGGCCAAATGCCCAAATCATCTCGTTGATACTCCCTCCGTCTCACAATAGAAGTCGTTATGAGATGCGTGGAGGTTAAACTTTCTAGGTTCGTAAAAAATACGTGCAACATTTATATCTCTAAATAAGTTTATTATGAAAGTATATTCAACGATATATCTAATGATACTAATTATGTATTACAAGTATTAATATTATTTTATATATAAGTGGTCAAAGCTAAAAAAAACTGACTTCTCAAAAAATGAAAACGACTTCTATTTTGGGACAGAGGGAGTACTAGAGTATACTGGAGTATCACAAAAAGAGCTAGCGCAACTAACCCGTCAATAAGTGCATGCATGCACAAGCTTAGCTGCCTCTGCTCTAATAATTACTCATCATGCACGCGCTCCTATATATATATATCGTAGTGCATTTTTATTAACATAGTCCACCACCTTCTGCCTCGGCTAATAACTACTCATCACCACGAGCTCAAATGGCCAGTGCATTAATGCAAGTTGACGTAAAGCGCGTGCATTTTTATTCATGCACGCGCTGCCCAAGCTTCTGTAACCTCCCAAAAAACGATTTTCTACCCATTTTTATTAATGCAAGTTGACGTAAAGCATAAGCTCCTAGAAATCAAATTCTCAGGGGTAGTTTCCATACTAACCACTCGTAGAAATGAGCGATTTCAGAACTTATTGACATAGTCAACCACCTCTAAAAATAGTTCTTGCGCAAGTCATAAAATTCATAATTAACATTTTTAGATAAAGTCGGACGAAGACAAATTTTATATCAAAATTGATGAGTGGCAAACTGGCAACAAAGTTAGAGCAAAATGACCGAAGAGGTGTGCACTGTCAGGAGTAAGAGGCGGACGGCAGGCTCTGTTAACGATCCGGCAAGGCAACAGGCGGGAAGGGATTGCAGGCGGACTCGCCAAGTGGCTGACAGGTGGGGCTTCGGATCGAAGGTCTGGTGATTCCTGACGTGTGGACCAATGGCGGTTGTGCCATGGGGCGTGCTAGCTGGATGGAGCTGGTCTAAAGGGCCGGTTGTAACGACTGAGACGCTATCGATGAGCTGAAACTCTGAAACCCAAGCTGTTCTTGGAACTCTGCTATCCCAATCCAAATACTCTGTTCTTCCTATCTCGTGCTCCAATTCTCGATTTCGTACGAATCCCAGTGGATTCGTGATGACATGCACTTTAGCACTTATCTTGTGGGTATATAGCCAGACTCAGACTATATATAGATAGTACATTTAATGTGAAATTATAGTCCTGGTCACTGCGAATTTTATGTTTTGCCATACGTAAGTGCATCTGTGCCTCCTAAACTGTAGTACCTACTTGCATTCGCCCCTGTCCACGTACGGGCGGATTTGGTTCAAGCTTGTCATCTATTTCGCTATGGTTCTAGCTCTAAAGGTTCTTGCAATCACTCCAGCTAAAATTTGACAACAATCGAAAACAAAACCGGCGACGCATGCACACGCAACCGTACGTGTCGTCCGTCCACTATTTGTTCATATGAAAATCGAAGACATGTTGCTGTTCATACTTTTTCTGAGATGATGAAAACGAACGTTCAGTTTTATCACGTGCTCTAGCCAAACCGACTCTACTGAATGCTATTGAGCCATACCTATTAAGTAGTGTTCAGTATAGTTCCTACTGAAAGTTTTGTTCTGCATTACACCTAGGGTGTACAGCAGCATGTGTGAGATCTTTAATTAGTAAGATTAAGATTAAGGTGATGCAGTGTGTACCGATTACCGAATGGTCCACAATTTCCACGTGCTGCCACACTGGCCTATATCGATTGCCCTCCCCGCACGTCCACATGACCGCACATGTACGCATTTGCATCTCATCAAACAGGAACACAGCTAAAACAGAAAAGCAAAGAGGCGAACTATGACAATGTACTGAGCTCTGAGCAATAGGCAAATTTTGCTGTTTTTCATGTTGCTATGATCAATGTAACCGTATATATAGTCACATAGGAGTACCTCAAGATTCAAGTAGTACTAGTCAATATGCTACGTAAGTTATTTATATGATCACACACACCGACTGCCACTTCTCAGTCCACCAGAGCCCTCGCTAACTTGCCATGCTGCCAACCTCGCTATCTTTGTTCACCATTGCAACTGCAACCATGCACGCTTGCTCCTTCTCTTTTTTCTCTGCAAGACTGGCTTTGCCCCAGTGTGTGCTAGTGTAGAGGTGCAGAATCATGCTGTCTTTGTCGTATCCATGTACGGCACACACCTCGCACGAGAGACTGCCATTCTCCTGCTGCGTCACGGTGAACACCTTGCCCTCCGCCTGGATCTTGATTGGCTTGCCAGGCACAGCAGTGGTGTCATTTGTTCTCACGGATTCCTTAGTTTGGGTCACAGAGCCATTGGATCCGGCAGCTGCGTGCTCTCCTTCAGCTTCCTCAGTAATCTCGCAATCCTCAGTTGGTCCAACAACGCAAGTATCAAGTTGAGCTTCTGCTGGTCGATCTACTGCCATGGATGCCATTGCAACGGTGTTTTTCGTTTGTGGAGTTGCCAACGACGGGGCTGATTCTTCTTTGTCGGCAGCAGTATTTGCTTGTGGCACCGCTGACGGCACCAATCCAGCCTCCACATTGGCTTTCGTGGACTTTGAGCTGTTGTCTTGCACCTCATCAGCCTTGGTGGCAAGGACACACAAGTCATTGTTTCCTCGTGCAGCAAACGTCATCTTGCGCTTGTGCTTTTGCCAGCCAGGTGAGACCGCATGATGGCCTCGGATGTTGCCTTTGCATTGCAGCTCAGGCAGATGAACAAGCCATCCACCCGGGAGAGAGGGTGCATCACACTGTCTACTTCCATGGTCAGCAAGTCAGAGTTACAGGCATTATTGAGCTGAGCTCCAGCAGAAGTTGCACTGCTTTTCATCACTTCCGTTCCAACAGGCTTAGCACTGTCCCCAGTGGCGACGTCATCTTTTGGTGGTGCCACGGTCACTTCTTTGCACCTCACCGTCATCACCAAGCTTTGGTTGCAAGGACTTCTCCAATGGGGCTTCCACCTTTGCTACCATGTCAGAGATGACAGCCGTGTCTGTGTCTATCGACTTTGCTTTGGCTGCTTCCTTTCCACCTGTGGACACGTTGACAGAGGCATCAGAGCTGGTGTTCGCCTTATTCTTGTGCTTCTTCCCTGACAAGTGTTGACGCATGCCATGCATGGATGCGGCCTTCACATCACACAGCTCGCAGAGCAGAAAGCCTTCCAAGCGCCGCACGGTGTGTGTGGCAGTGGCACACTGAAATCCTCCAGAACCAGCTTTTTAGGATCGCACTGCCAATAGCTGAAGTGGCAGCACTAACCGCCTCACCCGATGGCTTGCTGGAGGGTTGACGTTTCTTCAGGCCCTTAGAGATGTGTTTGCTGCCTTGTAGGTGGCACATCATGGTAACGCGGTCTGCCGTCCGCACATTGCACAACTCGCAAAGGAGGTACCCGTCCATCTGTGTCACTTCGTTCAGCTCTCCTGCGGTCGTCGCCATCATGAACTTTGTCGGTTTGTAATCTCCCAATGTCTCCATCGACATTGCCTCTTCCTCCCCTGCCTCAAGCCCTCTCTCCTCTGTCTCTGCCACTAGCTTTGGCAACTCCGGAAGTGCTACCACCTTCCTCTTGCGCACCTTCCCATTGAGGTGGCCTTGCATGGCCTTCTCACTGTTTGTGGTGATGCCACAAACCATGCAGGTTAGTGTGTTCTTCTGCTTCTTGCTGCTTGGAGCCAACAATGCTCCAGTGGCACGATCAGGGCTCTTCCGCTTGGTCGGCGCGGTTGCAAGTGTGTTTGCTTTTGGGTGGGCCTGCACAACCAGCATGAGAGTTTCTAGATGAGCAAACAAAAGTAACCGCAACTTCAAATAGTAATGACAGCATTATCATGATTGTATGTCAAGAACACACATGAAAATTGAACTCTTAAAAAATGTTCAAAACATCAGTAGATCATTAAATTTGGCTACCTTTTTACTATAATAAACTACACAAAGCTTTTTTGGGCAAAAATGGCAGAATTGCATGAATATTGTGAGAGCAACTGGTCATGTTTTTCTGTACCCGTAAAAGATTTGCAAAAGTTAACTGTACTCGTAGAAGATATGCAAAAGCTAACTTAACATACATGCTGTGGGCATCCTTATCACATAGCCATTCCTGTTTAGTTTAATTTTTTTTTTAATTTTGATATTGCAGATGACAATTTTGTTAGACGTTTGTAATGCTCTACAATTTTACATCCATCAGCGTCAAAACTGCAAGAAAATCTGCAGCATGTATTGCAAAGTCTGCAATCTGGCAACAAGGTTTTGAATTGGTTATCCAAAATTTGTGTTAAAACCATGATGAAAGTTTACAAATACTAGGGAAGAAAATAAAAGCACAATTTAAATATCAGAAAGAGTTCCTTCACGCTGACTCCTATCCGGAACAAGGTGTTTGATTAGAAAGAAATTCTTCAAGTATCAACAATGAGGGCACAAACTTTGTATACGGTACTCTATTTTCTTCAGTTTCTAATCATTGCATATCAATAAAAAGGTGAAAATTAATTCCGGTATAGTGCAACACCGCACCCTCGTGCTCAAAACTGTGCTTATTTTCAGCTACTTGTTCAGCATTGATTATTTTAGCCCATACCAAAAAGTGCAAAATGAACTATTGAACTGGCATCAATAGTGCATTAAGATTTTCACCAACACGAATGTTCTTTTATGTAGATTACATGAATTATTTGTATCTTGTCTTATATTTATGCTAATGTAGTTTGCCCACAATGCATGCATATTTATCTTTGAAGATGAACAAAGTAAATTTTTCCAATTAGGTCTTGTTTATCCATGGCTCCATAACATATTGTAGCAATCAGAAAAAAAAAATCGCTCCATGACTAACCAATATACCACACCAAATAGACCTATCCATGGCTCCATGACATACTCTAGCAAACAGAAATAAACATTATGGCATACTGTTGCAAAGGTTATAAGATTCACTAACCAATAAATAAACCACACCAAATAGAACAACAAAATTCTGTAAAACTTAACAAGAAAGGGACACTTTTGACAAACAGCTAAACATGATTATTATTTATGATAACTATTTACACTTGACATTTTGACAATTCTATGGAAAAATTTACCATTCAAATTTTAGTTTAAGAAACAACAAATTTGATATGTTACATAGAAACTTCACCTATGGTTGCTTTAAACATTCAAATGGAATAGTCTAAGTGAATTTGAAAATTTTAGGCATAAATACGTGCTTCAATTGGAAAGCAAATCAACAAAAGACTGAATGATGCATCGAGTTGTGCCCTCGGGGTGAAAAATCTATCTTATCAACGTTAGATCAGAAACATTCCATGATGCGACATAGAAAACGTGAGGAGAGAGCTAGGGAGAAACAGAAAGCGTGATCAAACACAAAAAGCCAAAAGACAGCAGACCTCAGGCGTAACAACAGGCAGCGACGAGTTGGCGGCGGTAATCGTTCCCGTTGACAGCGCCGCCGGCGTGTCAGATCCCCTCGCCGATCGCCCGAGCACAGGCCATGACTGACGCAGCATCTGTTCCCTTAACTCGCTACGTACCTCCAGCTCGAGTTCCCAGTGCTCCGCTTCCTCCCTGAGGATCCGCTCCCTGATCCTCGCCTTCTCCGTCTGCCGTCGCAGCTCGTCAGCGTCGACCGCCGCTGTCTCTGGTGGCGGCAGATTAGGCTGCCATAGCGTCACGGCCGAATCCCCCACGCGCTCTGCCCGACCGCCGCTGCCGTGGCTGTCTGGTGGAATCCCACGTCATATGCATCCAAAAGCAATAGGCAGGTCAGGGAGATCGATCGGTCGATCCCCAACATGAAACGACAGAGAGATCGGGATAGGAGTCTGGGGATCTTCTCACCTGCCGATCCGGAGCCAGGAGTACTTGGCACCGCTGGCGGCGGAGGGGACCGGCTTCGGCGCTCATCTACGGCGCGGTACTGGAACTGCATAGGTTTCGCAACAAATAAAGAGACGAGGAGGTTTTGGGTTTTTCGAGGGGTACATGGCCCTATTTGTTTCCCACCGCAAAACTTTTGTCCTGCACTTTTAGCTCATTTATAGGCTAAAAGTGAGTAAAAGAAGAGGCTAGGGTTTAAAAAATTTGATTTAAGACAACTCTAAGAATCTATTTATTCAAGGACACAGGAGTATCTCAGGAAAAACAAAGATCACTACAAACGATGAAAAAAGACACCAAATGACCTCTAAAATATAAAGTACAACAAAGATCAAATCGGTTGTCTTCTTCTTTCGGACGTCCACTCCTGCCAGAGCTTAAAGATCGCACTATGAAGACAACAAAGAAAAGAACCACCTGCAAACACCTTCACCAAACATGACTTAATTTGAAGACCACAAAATTCACTTGCTGCTGACAACGAGACAAAAAAAACACAGGCTTACGATCCTTCGCCGTAAAAAAGAGTGTCAAAGATTATGTCAAAATAGCCGCATCGAAAGCCAACGAACTAGGTGAGCCCCACACACCTGTTTTCACGCCGCGTTGTGGCTTCAGAGTTATGGATCGAGATTGATTTAGGGCCCGTTTGGCACGGCTTTCACCGGCTCGGACTCCCCTGGCACCAACACTGTAGCGTACTGTTCATAGAAGCGGCTTTCCTCTCTCCCCCTCTCACTTACACTCGCACTGTTCATTGGAGCCGGAGAAGCTCGTTTTCCTGGCTTCTCCGGCTTCATCTCCCGCATGCTACAGTACCCGCGCTACAAAGAGCGAAAAGGTGGAGAGAAAACCGCTCATCGCTATGATGATCAGCGCAGATTTTATCAAAGGCCCGAAGCCGACGGAAGCCGTGCCAAACGGACCCTTAGTATTAAAATATCCTGACCTGTGGACCCTACGTTGGCTTAGAAACTTGTGCAGGTGGATGGCCTATAATATTAACTATATCCTACGTAGATGCTCTTACAAAGAGTTGCTTAATTCATAGGCGAAGCCAGACAGTAAAGCCACTGGGTCAGTTCCACTAATCATCATTGTCGATGAAATATGGTCGGCAGTCTACCTAGGGGTATGCCCAAGGTAGTAGATTATTGGCAGACAGGTGCGCAAGCTACGAACGAGATAATGACACAAGACAGACACGAGGTTTTATCCAGGTTCGGCCGCCATGAGGGCGTAATACCTACGTCCTGCGTCTGATTGTATTGCTGTATGTCAATGAGATTGTGATGTTTTGAGAGGGGTCCCTTGCCCGCCTTATATAGTCTGGAGGGTAGGGTTACAGATCTAAAAACTAATCCCAACCGGTTACAATTGCCATAGGTGACCGGATAAGGATTCATATTCTAACCGACCAGGATCTTGCTTGATCTCCAAGTCCGCCTTGATTCCTTGGCGCGAGACTCCGAAAGCGGATCGGCCGTGGGCAGCGTGTCGTCTTCTAGTGGGACGAGACCCACAGTGGGGCGGCCCAATCCTAGTCTGTAAGGGTATAGGGGTTAATACCCCCACAATCACCTAAATACACTAGATAATAGTAAATTTATATAGGATTTGTCAAATTTTATAGGGGTCAGCTGACCCAAAAAAAACCCTGACTCCGCCCGGGTGCCCTTAGACTCCAACGAGGAAGCTATATGGGCACCCAAACTCAAAATGGATAGCAAGAGATCCAAAATAAACCTCTAATAGAGTACCTATACGAAAGACCTATTTTGGGTTGCCTGAGAGACACAAGCCAAATATGGACATCCTCTCTCCTGAAAACCCATTTATAGAAATGATTCTCTTTTGGGTCTTGTTGTTGGAGAAGATGCCGAATAGGTATTGAACCTTTTGTCTGTAGCTCTACCCAAAAGACGAATGTGTCTTGTATTCTGGATGTTGTTGTTGGAGATAGCCTTAGGGTGAGTCCGTGAGACACTTCTGTTCCAACTAAAAAAACAATGTTGACAATTCCATATAAGTATTTCTTCCATTTTGTCACTGATGTTTGACCATTCGTATTCGTCTTATTAAAAATCTATACAAATATTAAAAAACATAAGCTATTCTTGAAGTACTTTTAATAATTATACAAAGTCATGAGAAAATAAATAATAATTACATGATTCTTTTAGTAAAATAGATAGTCAAACATCACGTTAAAAATCAACGACGTCAAATATTTAAAAACAGAGGTAATATCATATTTCCAATCGGCCAATCTGACTATGTTAGGCCAATAGGTCCACTAATGATAACCTATACTCCCTCCAAAATAAGTGTTATTTTTGTTTGTCCAAGTCAAACTTTTCCAACTTTAACCAAGTTTATAGAAAACAATACTTATGGTACTGTGGGGGTATTAACCCCTATACCCTTATGGCTAGGCTTGGGCCGGTCCGGATCAGAGGGTCCAGTCCGCTAAAAGACGACGCGCGGCCCAGCCAACCTATTCGGAGTCCCGTGCAAGGAGTCAAGATAGATTTGGCGATCAAGCAAGATCCTGGTCGGTTAGAATAGGAATCCTTATCCGGCCACCTATGACAATTGTAACTGGCTAGGATTAGTTTCTAGATCTGTAACCCTGTCCCCCAGACTATATAAGACGGGCAGGGGACTCATCTAAAAAATATCTTATTGACATACAGCAATACAATCAGACGCAGGACGTAGGTATTACGCCCTCACGGCAGCCGAACCTGGATAAAACCTCGTGTTTGTCTTGCGTCATCATCTTGTTCGTAGCTTGCGCACCTGTCTGCCGACAATCTACTACCTTGGGTATACCCCTAGGTAGACCGCCGACCATATTTCGTCGACAGTGGCGCGCCAGGTAGGGGGTGTGCGTACTGCTCTCCAAGCGAACAGGATGATCATCATCCCCGGCTCCGTGGCTACGCCGAACGGCCTCACGTTCACCGTCGGCCAGATCACCTGGACCACTGGCCCCGATGACTTCATCGCCATGATCACGGAGGAGGTGCGGACTCAATCCGCGTCGACCACTGCTTCACCTGCATCGGCTACGGCTCCGACCACGGTGGATCTGGCTCCGACCACATCCGCATCGCCTTCAGCCACACCGATAACCCGTCGTCCGCTTCCTCGCTACAAAGGGAAGCATATCGACAACACCGACCTGCTCGACTCCATCGATCGGGTCAGCACCAAACTTGCCGAAACCCTAGCTCTGATAAGTTCAATTCAAAGTCAACCTAATGAGCAGGTAACCGCTACCCACAACAGATCTACCCGACCAGCTCGGGCCAGTCGTCCTGCACGACTCGGTACAGATCTCGTGGTCACATCTACTCCTGAAGGGCGCTCCGTTCGTCGCCAGCCAGCCCCTGCGATGGGTCTCTGGCTCTCCGAATATGAAACCTCGATGGAGAATTACCAGGCTCAGCCCTACGGCCTGCAAAACACTGCTTCCAACTATGTGTACAGTATGCAACGATCTTGGCCAAGACCACGCAACTTCGTCAACATGGTCCGGATCGAGGAGTTCCAAGAAGGATCGGTCCACACAGTTCGAGAGGGTGGCTCAAGCTCCACGTCCAGCACCGCATCTAATGGCTCCATCCACACCGAGCTCTAGCATCATGACGACGAAGGCGTTGAATACGATATGGATATCCCAGACCACGCCCCGGGGTTCCCACGATTCCCATCCTTCCCACCAAGGCGAGGAGACTTGATCAACGTTGACAGTAATGACGAACCACCGGCTGTCGGCGAAATAGAACAAGAAAGGCTAGCACGCGAAGCACGCAATATTGACCGGTTTAACCATCAACAAATCGAAGCCGAGGCTGAAGAGGAGGCACAACGCATAAGGGTCCAGCCACGCGACCTTAACAATGCCTTCGATAGGGTGGGCGACAAGCAGGTCTTCAGGACCCCAAGCACCAACGTAGCTGTTGCTATGGCGACGATGCAACGACTACCCAATACCCCGGAAACCCAGGCAGTTCGTGATGATATACAAGCTTACTTGACGGCTGCTATGGCCCAGACCGCAGAGATTGTAAATCAAGCCCGGGCTCTATCTGTCTCAGTCAAATCAAGCCACAGTCGCCAGTACTCAAGTCGCTCACAACCACCCAACCAACGTGGCTCGCGCAACAATGACCCATCAGACAACCGTCAAGGCGGGAACGGTGGCCATGATGGTGGTCGGGACGACAATCACCACGGCTATCGGGACGACAACCGCGATAATCGTCGTGATAACCGCGGTCGCAGGGTTATCTAGGGTGGCAACCGGGATCGTCGTGACGGCAATAACGATCTCCGCCATTACCTCGGAGAACGCGATCGCATTAATCAAAGAGCCAACGATCGTGCATCCCACGAAAGCTATCGTCGTATAGAATATGATACTACCCATGGCCCTCTGGGTTTGAAGCAGTTTACTCCACACCTTCACCAAGTCATATGGCCCAAGAACTTCAAGCTCAAAAAACTTCAAAAGTACGACGGCAAGGAGAACCCCAAATTATGGGTCATGCTCTACGAAACCGCGTGCAGATCAGCCATGGCTGACGAGCACGTCATGTCTAACTACTTCCCGGGTCATTGCCGGGCCATGCAGCCACCAATGGTCTGGTCACCTGCTTAAACTACTTTTGATTCTTGGCAAGAGCTCAAGCAAGCTTTCATTGATAACTTCATTGCTACTTGCGAGCAACCCGACAACAAATATGATCTGCAGCGGATTCGAGATCGAAAAGATGAGCCACTACGCGAGTACGTCCGGCGTTTCTCGGAGATGCGCATCAAGGTCCCATCAATCTCCGACAATGAGGCAATTGAGGCTTTCATTACTGGTCTCCGTTTCCACGATGCCCTACGGGACAAGCTCCTCCGCAAGAGACCTGAATCAGTCATAGCACTCCTGGCCACTGCCAAGAAATATGCGGATGCCGACGATGCTAAAAAGATAATCATCGAAGAAGCAGCAAGGGTTCCACGCTCTGACCACCCTCCACACCGCGACGACTA